TGGATTATTTTTTAAAAGTTAAAAAAAATAAAAATGCTGATCTTATTCAGGGAATAAGGGGCCTTTTCGTTTGCCAAAAAGTGTAATAGGAACACTGAAAGGCCACCTGTGTCAGCCCACCCTACAGTATGAACATGAGCTATAAGAGCATTTTGGAAAATATTTTTAAACTGAGATGAGAAAAAAATCAATATCAATAGAGATTCCAAGCAGATACAAAAGGCTTCTGTGCATGGTAGTGATTATGTGTGTGGCCTACACAGGCTAATTTCAGATGCCTCCAAAAAGTCAGTGTACTTTCTCTTTTATAAGCTATTTGGGATTAAAACTAGGATTTCATCCATTTCAACTTTGACAATGGAGACAAACACAAGGTAAGATAATTAAGCCAAACAAGTTGAATTTTCCCCCTCACAGATGGCTGTTGTAATCTTAAATGACTACTGAATTTTACCAGACATGCTACACTTAATATTTTGACAGTTGTTTATTAAAATTACTTTCCTAAGAAGTCCTATGAACCAAACTGTAGTTTTTATCAGAATTGAGGGATCAGAGAGAAGCTGTGTTGATGGCATACTTGCAGCAAGCAGACAATAGGAAAAACTCTTAACACTCCCGGAGTTGCATCACATTTTCCATGGACCAAAACTAAAATGAAATATTCAATTACTGAGAGGTAGATAAGTGAAATAAACAACTAATTTCATAGTGAAGTTGGGAGAGACTCATATGGACCTCATTCTGTTGTCTCCAAACACTTTATCGAAGAGGGAAAAGGAGTTGAAAAAACTTTAAACTCTCATGTAGGGATGTATTGCTTGTGTGTCCCTGGCAGATGTGGAAAGGAGATGAAATGGGCAAGGGAGAATCAAATATCCCATCGCTGCAGGTTTGCTGAGGGAAGGAGCACTGCAAAGATCTCACATCTGGCAATCATTTGTCAATAGCTGGAAAGAGAACGGCAGGAAACTTTCTGGCTCTTGGAGAAGATGAAAAGACAAAAACCATGTGTCACACACACACACACACACACACACACACACACACACACACTGAAATGGGGTACAATGACTACTACACTTATTCTGCACCCCTCCTTATCCCCACTAAATTTAATGATCTTCAGATATACTCTACTCCATGGTCAAAAACATGTACTCACTTGACTTGTTAAAGCTGCAGTGTACGTACATTTTTCAAATAAACCCCAGGGCTGATGTTAGAAAATCAAAATCAGTCAAGCATAGACCGCCTGGTACTTTGGGCAGGAATCCTTGTGGTTTAGTCAATAAACAGAATCTGAATGAAAGACACCACAGTAACTAGACAGTAATGTTTTGAACAGTTCTTAACCTGAAGGGGGCTGGGGAAGGCGGGTGCACTAGTGACCATGAACATGAGTCTACCAGTCCATATGCATCACTCACTCTACCTGTGATACAACTGTGTTTAGCACAAGGTCATCTATTATCTCCAACACACACTAAAAAAGTGAACTTATATTTGAGGGAGGAAACTGTTGGGTTTAAAAAAAATAATCACACCTCTTTAATAGGGTAGGAAGAGAAAATCTCAGATTCTGTTTAGTCCGAACTAGTGATAACAATATAAAAAAATTGCTAACTTCACTGTGAATTAATAAAAATGACCAGGTTTGCCTCAGTCAGTTTATCATGTAATAAAAACTTTTCAAGATACCCCACACAAAATTAATTAATTTGTCCAAAAATCATAGGAATTTATATCTGTTCGTGTGATCTGAAGACTTCAATGGAAGCTCCTGGTTCACCCTTATGCCGCGTTTAACTAGCAGCAGCCGCCAAGCTTGTCCCTGTGATTCCATAAGTGAATGCTGCAGGTTGTTTAATAACCTGGCAAATTCACAGTAGCTTGTCAAATTATTACAGGAACAGTGTCATCACTAAACAAGCCTGATCACGGTTAATTACAATGCAGACTAGAGAGCAGCCACAATTGTTCATTAATTACAGGAAGCACCTCATTTAAATTTTATGGAAATTTACACTTGCATCCCGGTATGTCTGGAAAAAAAAAAGTGATCCTTCATGCATTCACAGAAAAAAGGAGCCTGTGGTTTATGAAACATCACAGTAAATTGGGTCTAATCTGGTACTGAAATATTGGTTCACTATTTACTCTAATTTACTAAGCATATTAGTGGTGAAAAATATCAAGTCAAACCCCACATCTTGAATTCCCCACCAAGAAAGGAAATGAGCTGGGGCTACTGTAACAACTTACTACATGATGAGGCTCAGTTAAGACTAAAAAGTAACTTTTCCCTGATTAAAAACAAAATATTTAATAATAATTAAGAAAGTATAAACCAGAACAAGTTCTTATAAAATAATTATATAACACACGATTTTTAGCCACTATACATCAGTTAACTGAACCTCCCCAACTGAAGAAAGTAGTTGCGTATCTACTTGAAAAGTCAGAGGAAAACAAAGTTAGTAAATCAAAGTCTTGACTTCCAGCTTCTGCTCTAAATCAAGCATATTAACACAAAAGAAGTGCAGACGCCCTTGAAAAAGTCCAATCAGACACAGACTTCAAGGATTATAATCATGAAAAACCAAAGGTATATTCATGAAAGAGTGTCAGGAATCTTGGGATTATTAAGCAATAATGTTGCCAAACCATCTGAAAATTCAGGGATATATGCAAAGGGTTAAAAGGAAGCAGGTAAGAACAGGAAGCGACTCCACCAGTCATGAAAACTCATGAATATAAAAGTAGATCAGATATAGGTTCTCCATGTCTAAGTGAAAATTCTTCCTAGAAAAAAGTATAAACAAACTGTTGCTCCAAAATCAAGGTGCCCAGGGGGTTATTCTCAGAATCAAGAGGCCAAACAGCAAATCCTCTGGCTGTTATAATGCCTGGCCCTGGGGAAAAGCCTAAGATTCAAGCGAGGAAAAATAAATGACTCTGATGACCCTGGAAAGTCCTATAGTGAGTTCCCTGGAGTGTAGATCTGGACTTAAAAATAAGAAACGGCACATTCTGTACAGGGAGGGAGAGGGGAAACCAAATACCAGACTACATTCCATGGAGAGAATGAAAGAACTCTAAGCTAAAAACTACCCCTGGAATTGTTAGATTATGAAGAACATATTAAGTGTCAAGTTATTACGACTGACATAATATTGATATGTACTAGATATTATTAAAGTGTGTGGAAGCCACAGTTAGCAAGGAAGAGGAAAAAAGAAGGAAATGGTTCAAATGGGTCCCAGCTAATTCACCGCAGTGGACTACCTTCTGACAGATGCGACCTTTCCACTCAGTCTGCCAAAACGGTGTTGCAAGAAGAGGAATCCAATAAAATGAACACCTTCATTTCTATGACCAGGAGCTTGGTCTTCTTTGCGAAGCCCATGCTGAACTGTCAACTCCACAATCTATTTAACTACCTATGACCCCAGAATTTCCCTTAAACTTGTAAATACACATTTTCTCCCTTGGTATGTTATAATAATGTGCTCCATTGGTCTCTTTTGGTTTTATTTCACACACTCACATCTGCAAAACCCATTGCTCTTTGCACCGTAACTCAAGGTTCAAAACAAATTTTCCAACAGCCACCCATGACAGACCATTCCAGGTGATATGTTTGAAGACCATCAATTGTCCCATGCAAAGAGGTCAAGGGTCAGACTATGCCCCACAACAAGTCTTCCATCACTCTGCATTTATGTGTCACACACAAGCTGTTAACTTTCTGAAACTGGGAAATACATGGTCATGTCTCATATGTGTCACACCTGCTTGTCTGGTGCATCACAGCCATACACCACCCAGACAGTACCAGCTTGTAGCACTGAAAAGCTCAGGTGGTCTTCCCTAGTCCAAGAGCAGGTGTGTACCCTAGTGCAAGAGATGGTGTACCCTTCAGTACCATAAAAGCTGAAACCTCCTCTTACCACCTCTTCTACTTTCACTCGCACTATGAAAAAGTAATTTTAAAACTATTTTCTTTTCTCATGTCGGGTGTCTAAACCAGTAAAATGTTTTAAAATTGAACTCACTGTGCTCATCCCTCAAGTCCAAAAATTTTAGAAAATGATGCCAAATGGAAGCTCTAAAAGATACTGTGAGTTTGCTCATACTAGGAAATAACATCCATGTTGAAACCTCAGCTTATATCTTTGCATCATTGGCACATCTTTAAATAACTGAACGTACATGGAGGTAGACACATTAGTTTGGATAAGATGTCATATTGTATTTTATAATTAGCAATATACTAAACTGCTTTGATTGCCTCAAGACCACACAAAAAGAACTGAATTCCAAGTCACTACTTTCACAAAAATGTACTTTGCTAGTAAACTTAATATTTCACATATCTCCCAATCCATGAAGAAGGAAGATACTTAACGAGTCTTATTTTTCTAATGCAATGCCCAGTTGAATGGGTTCCATTCTCCTGAGCTGGGAGACCATAATGCGGGAAGTATGACTTGTTCCCCATATATCACCAGTGCCTAAAACACTGCCTAGCACATTTTGATTATGATTTAAAAAATGAGAGCTAATATTCCTGGAGTGCCTGTTGTGTGCCAGGCCCTATGCTCACTGCTAGGTATATATTAGAACATTTAATCCTCATAATCACCTTGTATGGTGGATCTTCATTTCATACATGAGAAAGCTACAGCTCAGTTAGGTTGAGTGACTTGCCAAAGGGCTCACAGCAGCTTGTGTCACCTGCACAGCCAGCCTTCAGATACCATGGTCTTACCCACTGCAGTATATACTATCTTTTGGATAAATAATGAATGATCTCCAGTTACAGAAAACTTATTCTGAAAAGAAGTTTTTGTTGCACATATGCTCCATTGGTCCCTCTTTCACATTTGTCTCAATGGCTCTCTGTCCCCTGATGTCACAGATTCATCTGTATGGCCTTCAGGGGACCACCGTTTCTGCCACACCACCCCCAACTGATAAAACAGTAAGACTCCAACCTGGACTTCCAGCCTCTGGTCTGGCTCCTCCAGGTTTGGGCAGAAGTCTGCACCCAGCACTCTGCCAGCACATGCCACTGGAACCTGGGGGAATACGGCTGAGTTAGATAGATGCTGGGTGTGGAGGCTGAGAACTACACACAAACACACTTGACCCAGGCAGAAGCAGGGGCACCCCAACTGAACTTCTGAAACAGGCCATCATGGCTTCCCAGGTTTTTGACACTCAGTAGGTCAAACGGATTGTGAAGAGCACACATCCAAGTTTATTGACTACCAAGAAGGTAAATTACAAGAAAAAAAGGTCTACATAAATGTTATTCACCCTTGTATCTACAGCACATAGCACAAAGCAGGCACTTAAATATCTGTTCAGAAGGAAGAGAGAAGGAAGGTAAAAAGGTATGGAGGAAGGAAACAGGAGAAGAGAAAAAGCAGCAGAATGGCTGCTTGATGTTTTTTCCTCTATCTTTCCATTTTCTCATGGGAGGATTAAGACAATTGTATTCTATAATGTCTAAAGTTCCTTTTCACTTTTAAATACCTACTCAAATTTATTTTTCCTGTTCCTGGTAGAGGACAGCACAGGCAGAGTTATTTATTAATATTTATTATTTATTTACTATTATTAAATCTCATTTAAGAGTTCTATTTTGTGTCTGTTCTAATAATAAGAATAGTAACAAATACGACTTTAACTTAGTGAATGTTTCTATTTCTAGAATTCTACATTGAAAGCCACTAAAATTCCCTTTCAAAAGTAAGTTATTTATTTCATCCAGTCTCTCCATGGAATAACTTACTTTTGAAAGAAGGTGAAGGGGTTAGACAAAGAACATATATACATAAACCACCAACACAGACAAGAGTGTGGTGATGGCCAGAGGGAAGGGAGTGGGCAGGGGCTGGGTAAAGGAGGAAAAGGGGAGCAACAGGGAGAAATCTGTAATAGTGTCAATAATAAAAATAAAGTTTAAAAAATTAAATTATTTATTATCGATAGTTATTCTTAACCTTGAAATACTGCCTACGATAACTTCCTTACTTTGTTTTAGACTTTTTTAAGATAAGATTTAGATTTGATCCAAATCTGTTTTCTTCCTTTTCAAAAAATTTCTCTACTACTCAACAATTTCAAACATATACTATCTTCATTGGTCGTACACATGTCTATATGTATCAGAATCTTAATCTATCAATCAGATTCACCTCACCTGTCACAAAGCCTTCCTTTGGTGTTTTGTTTTGTCTCATTTTTTCAAAAAACTCCAATTAGGTTGGCCTGTGCCAATCAATTTTCTTTGTTTAGAGATCACTTTTCAGCCAAGCATGCTACCTTCGGAGGTATTTCCCTTTTCTTTTTGACCCACAAATCATTTTACTTCTCCAAATTTAAATAATGTCCATAAGCTTCATTTTGCAAGTTCACTAATGAATATCACTAATTTCAAAAAAAGCATTCAGCCAACTCCTCAAATATTTTAGATTCGGCTTTTTCTTTTTGGTCTCTCCTTCTTTCTTCCTGCCTACTTTCCATAACATAAAATGGACAGAATATCATCTGTCTTTGAAATTAACCACTCTTTTCTTTACCCAGGAATTTCACCAGTGAAGCCCAAGAGGGAAAGGAAAGGGAGGTCACATTTACTAAGCACTTGGAATGAGCCAGTCAGCATATGGGTACCTTACATACAGAAATAACCTTTTTTTCCTTTTCAACAATCTTATGGGATATGAGCATCTGCATTTGACAAATGAAAAAAACTGCAGCTTAGAGTAGATAAATAGGTCAGAGTCACATGCTAAAAAGTTGCAGAGCGCACACTTAAAAAATGAGGAATAAAGACTGAGAATATATTTCAAAGAAGTTAATGAAAAACATGTAATAGTTGCATTTAATGGCATCCAATCTAGGGGCATTTTTTGATGTTTCAAATGTAAGAAATTACAAAGAAGACAAAGGAAACGAAGGTGTTCCCAGCTTGCTGGGACCTACTGCTTGCTATGTGGCCTAGGACACCATAAGCAATGTAAAAGCGAATTTATCCTCTAACTTGAAGAATGAGAAAGAAATGGGGCCTGGAGAAAAGTAGAGACACTGAGCATTTGTGTTGTGTCACACAAAATAGTGCTGATCCCCCCACCAGCTGACACACAGAAGGGCACTAATGAGTCATGCAACAGTAATTCTCCCCAGAGTGCCATAGAAAGATTGGGAAAAATTCACCTTAAAATACTCTGTATCAAAATGAAACTCCCCAAAATGCTTCCTATAAAACCTCAATTAACTGTAACTACTTAACCGATTAAAGCCAAACCCATGAGCCGCAATGTATATACTGCAAATTAAGTGTAAACAATACTTTTATTTCATGTACACAAAACAAATTCCCACTTACCTTAATATTATTTGACTGTGTCACAAATACTAAGTTTTTATTTCCTTTTCACCCTCACAGAAAGTGTTTTGTAAGTACTCTCAAGTAGGAAAGGAGACAGTTAAACAAGTACAATTACACTCAATTATAACCTCAGACACTTAGAAATAAACAGTTCCTGAGAGAAAACAAAATTTCTGTGAATAAGTTGAAGAAAAATGTGTCAGGCTACTAGAGTGTTTCAATAATCCAAATCACAAAAAGGAATTAGAAGTAGATAGCAGTCTCATAGTTAGAAACCTAGAATTTCAGAGCAGAAACCCGCCCCCTGCAAGGAAGTGTCCATAAAAATGGACTCCCATTATTTTAAAGATAAGAAAATTGAGATTCAAACAAAACTGCAGTTTCACTGATGGGTTCACTGTCTAACAATACCCCTGTACCCACACCCACAATAAGTGTTATTAATTATCAGAGAACAAATTTTTAAGGAAAAGGCAAGTGATATGTAGTTCCGGATTCATCAAAATGTACCAAGGAAACTATAGAGGATACAAAAGTTGATAACCTAATTAGTTATAATTCAGCCCAGCCACCGAGACAATTGGGCCTTTTGATTTAGAAGCCTTAGCTGTTAACCAGCTAGCTATAAAGCAAGCAAAAACAAAGAAACAAAAAAACACAGAAAGAGCAGAAATAAACTGTCTAAATTCTTATTATTATTCCTCTTTAAATAAAATATGGTGTATACCCATCCACTGGCACATAAAATTTAAATTGATTTGGGGAGTTCCAGTTTTATCCACTTTCCCTCATGCTAGTGCTCAGTGTCTGCTTCAATGCCATACTTTAAAACTAAGTTCTCCAATGATTTTTGCAAAATAGTCACAGTGATTTTTATCTCTGAAAAAAAGTAAGACTAAGGGAACTTTTAAAATTCTTTTTTGAATCAATGCATATTTTGCTTTGAAAGTAAAAACATTTAAGTTAAAAAGAAATGAAAATACTAAATTGATCAGCTAATGTTTCTAAACATTCTGCTACAGGTTTCATTATGGGATGGTAATTGTCTAGTACTCATCTAAATTTCATTCTGCTGGTGCTGTAACAGGAATAAGAGGCCTTGAAAGGGACCCTCTGGAATCCCCAGGGTAAGCAGAAGCTGAGTGCATATCTCCTCCCCTGTACATACCTCAGAGGAATCATGGTGTGTGAGAGAGCTATTTACAACTTACTCTGTGTATAATCAGCAGAAACAAAAGATATGACAACAAGCATAAAGACCTCTCTCTCTTTCACTTCTCAGGAGAATTGAGCAAAGGAAGGCCAGTGGGTATTCACTTCAGTGTCAAAAGGGCTTCCAGAAAATACATTTTCTGTGGGGCAGGGAGGAAATATGGCAAGCTTCCTACACACACACACACACACACACACACACACACACACACGTTCCTTGTTTACTGAGATCACACATAAAAACAGTTAGGGACAAGATTTCTGAAAAGAAGACAGAAAGAGCCCCACATTGTAAATGGGAGCCAGCATTCGAAGTGTCTGAAGCAGAGTGGGAGTATAAGGTGTGCGTCATGAAGGGGACAAAGGAAGAGAGAAAGAGGCACCAACACGGTAACTAGGGAAATAAAATGCGCTGTGCGTGAAGGGCTTATAGAAACGGAGATGCTTCTTGCACAACCAGGGCCCATTTGAAATTTAATTTTCTTTTTAAACATTAAACATTCAGGTAGGCACTTGCCTGGTAGACACTATAAAAGTCACGGCCTAAATAAACAAACTGACTTCTATGTCAGCTCAAGTCTCTTTAGTTAGGCTGGCCAAAAGCCCAGATCAGTTCTGAAGTATATGTGTGTTTTGGTGGCTTTAGTCGAGCAATAAAGAGATGAGAGAAACTATCTCAACCCAAGAAGAACTTGGAAATGAATGGGTAGACAAAACTGATTTTCAGAAATAAAGGGAAAGAGAAAACCCAAAACAAATCCTCTCAGAGGAATCAGGGACATGCTGGGTTCAAGCTCTGTCACATTTTAAGCCAGAGAAAAGCACTCTGATGGAACTTCAGTGGTTAGATGATACCAAGCAGCAAAAGATAAAAATGCTCAGATAAGAATTCAGGAAGACTATTAAGTGAAATGGCTTTGACAATAAACCAGCCAGGAGCCTATGTGAGAAAGAGCAGAAAAAGGAATAAATTAATTAACCACTACTAGAAAAATGAGGATGTATGCTAAATGCATTGCTATGAAATAAATGAATGTAAAAATTGAAAAACAGGAAGGTGAGCAGAGTTGCTGGATGAGCAGTTAGCTTATATCCTAATTTTTCAGGTTATGATTTAACTAAAAGACAACATTCCAAGCCTAAATTTTATCAACCATAGAACTGGAGGACCATTTAGGTCTATGAACCTGAAGCTTAAGAATGAAAACACCGCTTACTGGTCACCACTACTGGTGAGTCAAAAAGAGTATTTATATCCATTTTCCCACAGGGAATGGTCAGAACTGGGCTTAGTCTCACAAGGCCCTAGATGAGACAGGGTTGTGTCAATGGGTGCATGATAAGGATGAGAGATGTGTGATAGAAGAATCGAATAGGACAGTGGACAGTTTCCTGTGAAGTCATCCCAGGACAATGAACTGCAGGATCCAGTGAGAGAAGAAAGAACAGCGAAGGGTCAAGTATATGATT